GAGATGCTCTTAAACAGGCTGTGTTACCCTGATCTTTCCTCGTTATCCATCTGATCAGGTCCTGGAACCACATCGTGTCGTTTACGCTGAACCCCTTTGAGAAGTAAAATTTTGCGTTTTGCTCAACTTGGGTTGACATTTTTAAAATTGATATTTCTCCAACATTGTGAATGTTTTTCCTTACAATATTTTTATACTAACTTGTTGTTTTCATAGCTGAATTCTCTTTATTTCAAGTTTTGATCAAATTTGTGCAGATATGACTGAGATATTGCCCTCTAAGTGGGTCCTCTTTTAGACACCCTGTGCTTCTTACCAGCTTAATAATTCGAGGAAACTGGTGTTAGTTTACAAACACAATACCCCCCCTCCCCTCCAAATACATCTAACGATACGAGAGGTAGGATAAGATTAAGTAAGTATAAAAACACAACGTCAGGTCCGACGGAGCTAAGAATCAAACTTACACGTTGTTTAAATGTGTTCTTTTGGTGGGGTTTTCTAGCCTTAAGTGCCCCCGCGGAAAAACCCGGCCTTTTGATCCTCTTTTTCGGAAGAGTTTTATCATTAGCTTTCTACTGGAGGGAGGCAAAACATCAACATTTGAACACGAAATTCACGTGGGACATAGGAAGCACATAAGCAGATCAAATACCGACATGTTTTAGATTGTCTGTATGTTTCAATGAGGGAAAATAGGCAATCATCTGAAGCGCTCTTCAAAATAATATTTTTAAAATTTATAATTCCCTCAGCATTTTCCGATGTTTTAGTTATCTTTTGTCAAATTTTTTTTCCTGCTAAACGCCTTTTATGTCCATTTAAAAACTAAATACTTTGTGAAATTTTATTGAAAAACATTATGCAATAAATGCTTTAAAAATTATTTTAAATCTGTTGTATCCAAGTACACTCAAACTTTGGAAGTTACCAAACTTTGAAGCCATTTTTTCTCTTTAATTTTACAACTGACATCCGGCGACCTCCATTTCTTCAGTCACATATATACCTCTTTTGCTTTTAATGATAACAAGATTGAAGAGGTATATTTTCATAAAAAGTAAGATAAATAAACAATTTTCAAGATCAAACCAATAACTCGATGTCATGCCCAAAAATTGACGAGCGCCTGAATCGACTGCGTCGTGTTACATCTGTCTCCTGGACACTTTGAATGGCCAAAAACCTCATCTGACTTCCAACCGATTTCTTGAAGTATGTCGTGCAAGCTCCGTCTTCCGGGATGAGAAAACACACTCATGTTATTTCTCTCTCCACCACCTATTTTGGCATGGAAGATAGAGTAAACATGATGGGTTGGTTTTTTTTGCGTACAGCAGCATAGCTAAAAATAGAGCTCACTGAGCAAGACAAGCTCTTCTGAAGAAGCCATGCTATTTGCCATCTGCAAGTTTGTCTGTTTGTAAATGTTTTAGAGCGTGTAATCCGCAGCTTACACGGTATGTTTTGCGGGAAGCTGAAAATGTTTCTGAGTGTTGTAGGGTCTGCTGGATCGAGTAATAATACAGATTATAAAGCGCGTTGAAAAATTGTGTGACAAAATTGGTGGCGTACAAAAGGGGAATTATTAACCTTCCGTCAGCACTCTAAAGAGTTGATGCATCTATGTCGCGTTGTTGTATGCTTCTTCAGCAGTTGAAAAAAATCGCGTCTATTATTGCTTTTCAAAACGGCATTTCGCTTAAGGTGAATTATATTTATTATATCAACGAAAATTGCTATCAGCAAACATGCGCACACCGGTTTGGGATGGTGTGGTGTGGGGGTGAGAGGTGGTGGTGGGGAGGTAGGGGTTTAAAGATAAGTTGAATGATCTGGGCTCCTACGTTTTCCGCATTCAAAATTCAGCTTTTTTTATGGTGGTCATTTGCGTCTTGACAGACAGTTGTCTGCATGATACAGCTTAGCCTGGGTGGTAGACATTGAGGGATTGCCCAAGAACTACTTCCCTCCCTTCTGATCTTGACTTTCTTGATAATTCAGTAAGTTTGGAGCCAAAGAAGGTTTAGGGTGTCTCTGGCTACTTTGTTTTCGTGTGTATAATTGCCTCTTAATTGCTTGAGTATCCGGATTTTTGAGAATCACTGACAAAATATGAATAATTGTTTAACTTAATTTCGCTTTTAGATTCCGTGGGTTTTTGCAGATTTTGCTGCTTGGGTATGTGCCTTCTCTATAATGGCCATACAATCATTGCTAATTGCCTGGGGGTTTTTTAAACAAAAAGTAATATAAAATGTTTAACTTGTTAAATAGTCATTCGATTCCTGTAGATAACAAACACTCTATTCTGAAGCTTTCAACCACATCGTGGATATTTCTACGATATTCAAGATAGAGCATGAAATTGAGCCAATCTGTGGCTATTATCATGAAAAGATCCTTTCTCTACCTTTCTTTCCCTTTCTCTCTCTCTCTCTCTCTCTCTCTCTCTCTCTCTCTCTCTCTCTCTCTCTCTCTCTCTCTTGCTCTCTCTCTC